TGTTTATTGGACCAGCATTCACAATAGCCAAGAAATGGAAACAAACTGTTTATAAACAAGTGAATGAAGAAAGAATGGGTACACACTGGAATTCCACTCACCCACACACCCAAAAAAAAAAGATGAAATTCTGTGATAACATGATGGAAGTGGAAGACATTACATTAAGTGAAATAAACCAGATGCAGAAAGATAAAGTCTGTATTATTATCTCAGTCATAAGTGAAGTCGCAAAAAAAAAAAAAAAAAACTTGAACTCATAGACAGTGAGCATATACTAGTAGTTACCAGAGCCTGGGGAAAGCAGGAGAGGAGAAATGGGGAAAGGTTTGTCAACAGGTTCTAAGTTACAGTTAGATAGATGAAACTAACAACAAATGCTGGCAGGGTTGTGGGGAAAGAGGAACACTGCTCTGCTGCTGATGGGAGTGTAGTCTGGTACAACCACTGTGGAAAGCAGTATGGAGATACCTCAAAGAACTAGGATTGGCAGTCCCTGGCTGGGTATCTTCCCCAAATAAGAAATAAAAGTATTATACTTTTACATATGAGTATATATATATATATATATATATATATATGCACCCATGTTCATAGCAGCACAATTTGTAATAGCTAAAACTTGGAAGCAGCCCAATTGCCCATCAACAAGAGACTGAATAAAGAAAATGTGGTATTTTTATAAAATGGAATACTACTCAGCCATAAAAATGAGAAATTAGAGACATTTATAGCTAAATATATGCACATTGAGGTGATACTCAAGTGATATAAATAGGACACACATGAAAATACTGAATAGTTTCTCTAGTGTGAGAAACTGAAAGTGTAAATAAGGATTAAAAGGTATAATAGATAATGCGAAATAGGAAGAAAAGGGACAAGAGAAGGGGAAATGGGGGTAGAGGAAAGGAAAGAAGAAATGGTATTAATATGATAAAATGAAAAATAATGGAAAAAAAGTCTTTGTAGATAGGGAGGGAGGGAGGGGTTGAAGGGAGGGCAAGGGGATGGGGAAAAAAACAAGAACCAAGATAGATTATGCAAGGTGCAAATATCCATTGATGATTGTCATTATATTGTATACATTAAATGTATCAATAAAATTAGTTTTTAAAAAAAGAAACAAATTCTGGTGTTTTATTGCAAAGAAGAAAAACTATTGAAAATGATAACTTATTGTGTGCTTCAAATAAAGTAGAATAAAGGATTTTAAATGTTTTCACCACAAAGAAATGATCAATGTTTGAGGAGATAGATATGTTTTTCCTAATTTGAATGTTACACTATGTATACATGCATAGAAACTTCACATGTTATCTCAAAAATATGTACAATTTTTATTATATTAATTCAATTTGTTTAATTTTTTTTTAATTTCTGACAAGTAACTGAATAGATAATGAGAACTTTACTTAAGATAAGAAAGAACAATGGAAGGGCCTGGGATTTAGCTCAGTGGTTCCACTTTCCTGCCTCACAAGCGCAAGGACCCCAGTTCGATCCCCAGTACCAAAAAAAAAAAAAGAAGAAAAGACCCTGGAAAAAAGAAGCCAGTTTGGGAGCCAGAGGAATTCCATACATGTTATTGGTTTCTACTATATAATTTCATTGTCATCAGAGAACATACTTTGTTTGACTTGGACTCTTATATTTGATGCTTTATGGTATTAAATATGATCTACCTTGGAAAATATTCTATGTACACTTGAAAAGCACGTGAATTCTATTATTAGATGGAGTAACCTACAGATGTTAATTAGATAAAGTTGCTTCATAGTATTCAGCAAGTGTCCTATATCTTTGCTGATCTTTTATCTTGTTCTGTGAAATGCTAGGGAAAAAGTATTGAAATTTTCAGCTATCATCATGGACTTGCCTGTTTTTCCTTGCATCTATTTTTGCTGTATTTGGAAGCTCTATTATTAAGGGCATAAGTATTTAGTATTATTATGTCCCCTTGATGAACTGACATCTTTATTGTTATGAAATAGCCTTCTTTACATTTAATAATATTCTTTGCTTTGAAATTTGCTTTTCTCCTGACTACTTTTTTTTGTTAGCACAATAAATCTTTTCATGCTTCTACTTTGAACCTGTGTCTATATATTTAAAGCACATTTCTCGAAGGCAGCATACTGTATCTTGCTTGTACGCATAATCTTTGTCTTTTAATTGGAGATGTTTAGTCCATTTACATTTAATATAATTACTGTTATGGTTTGGTTTAAGTCTCCTATCCACTGATCTAGAAACTGGAAGTCTGTTGAACTTTTTAGTTCTGTAAGTACAGTCAGCCCTCCATATGTGCAAATGCTGCATCCACAGTTAAGCAACAGCAAATTGAAAACAACTGGGGAAAAATTATATCTAAACTGAGTGTCCCCAGAGTTTTTTATTGTCATTTTCCCCTAAAAATACAGTATGACAAGTATTTTCATGGCCCTAATATTATATTAGCTCTTATAATTAATCTAGGCGTGATTTAAAGTATATAAAAGATATTTGAAGCTATATGAAAATACTATCATCTTTTATGTAAAGCATGAGGATCTGTGGATTTCAGGAGGGGGAAGAAGGGGTTCTGGAACTGATACTTAGATTGTACCAACTGTATATGGTTTTCATGAAATTTGGAAACTTCTGGCTATTATTTCTTCAAACATTTCTTGTTCTCATCCCCTCTTTTGGAGATTGCATTACACATATATTAGGTAACTTCTAGTTGTTCTATAGCTCACTGATATAGAACATTTCCATTTCTTTTTTTTTTGTCTAAATGTTTCATTTAGATGATTTTTATTATGTTGCTTGCAGCTCACTAATTTTTTCTTTAGCAATGTCTAATTTGCCCTTAATCCAAGTCAATGGTTTTATTGTTATTGCTATTGTTGCAATGCTCGTATTCAAACCCAGGGCCTTGAGCATAACAGGCAAATGTTCAATCACTAAGTTACATCCCAGAGAACTGCTTGATATATTTTTTAATCTCATAACATTATAGATTCCTTCTGTAGAAGCACAAGTTGTCTTTTGTTATGTTTCCCCTATCTCTTCTAATCTTTTTGAACATTTGAAATAAATTAATCATTTTAATGTACTTTCTTAATTCTAACATACATGACAGTTCTGGTTCTGTTTCTGATTGGATGATTGATTTTTCTTTTCATATGGATTGTATTTTCCTGATCAAACCTCTGGATCCACCAGTCTATGGAAAATACAGGAGAAGACTACATTTTAAGCAGAAATATAGACTGCAATCAACAAAATGCAGAGTATGGGAAATTACACAGGACAATGTATCCATTTCTTTAATATATAAAGTACAAGGAAAGGAAAAAGTTTAGGAGACTAGCTAAAAGCAATGTGAGGGGCTTGCTTGGGTCTTGAGTTTAAGAACTAAATTATATAGAGCATTTATGAGAAATTTTTTAAACTGTCTAGATATTTAAAAAATTATTACTTTTAAAAGATTTTTAAGATATTCTGATCTTTTTTTTTAATTTTATTGAGTTTATTGGTACATTTTAGGGATACAGTACAGTTACATTCATTGTTGGGATCATGTACCTCTACATGGCAAGTCCTGATTCTCATTTTTTCCCCTTACCTCTGCCCACCCTTCACCCCCTCCTCCCCTCCCCATCTACAAACACTTTATTTTCATCTTTTCATTCTCTCACATTTTTTTCTTTTCCCTTTTTGTTCTTCCTCTACGCATCACACCTTCCCTACACCTTTAGCTCCTTTCTTCCAATTTCTAAATGTCAGTAATCTTATTAGAATCTTATGCATTGTTGCAGAATATTCACACCAGGGAAACTATTTGGTATTTACACATGTGTGACTTATTTATTTCACTTAGGAGTATATCTTCAATATTAAGATATTCTGATCTTTTTAAACAGACTTTATCATGTAGAGACACATAGTGAAATAGATATGGGATAATCTGCTGCTAGTGGTTTGCTTCAAAGTAATCCAGGGAAGGACAGAAAAAAAATGATCATGAGATTATAACTGTTGAAGCTGACTAATGGTTACATAGTAATTTATTATACCAGTCTTTCTACTTTTGCATTTGGAAGGTAATATTTTTCATAATAAAATGTTTTATATTTGATATTTTTCAGATTTAATATTTTTCATAATTTAAAAATTCAGTCATTCTCTTCTCTGAGAATACTCTCCCTGGCCCAATAGATTTAATTGTACTTAGAATGATTCCCCTGCCATCATAATAATTAAACTCATTTATTTTCAAATATTCTTTACCATAAGCCCCTTAAGAGCAAAGATTGTGTCTTACTTATTCTATATTATTTGTATTCTTACTTTCTACCACAGAGCCTGGATGCTCATAAATGTCATAAATGATAGTGAATTGACAGCTCTCTGGCCCCAATTCACCAGGGTGCTCATGACAAGAATATGGAATCAAACTTCCAGGTGTGAATTGTGTCCTTTGCACTTTCAAGTTATACTCTGTGTATAAACATATGGCAAAGGAGCCAAAGGAATCCTAATGTAAAAATCTAGGCAATAAAACTGCCAAGACAAACCAAGAATCTAACTTGTGACCTTTATAAAATTCTTCATTCTTTTTTTTTTTGGTGGCAGGGACTGAACTTGGGCCCTTGTGCTTGTAAGGCAGGCAGCAGAACCACTGAGCCAAATCCCCAGGCACACAAAGTTCTTCATTCTGCCTTGCCTTTCTCATAGGATTGCTCTCAATTTCAAATAAGATGTCACATGCACATGAAAGGGCTTTTAGAATGGAAAAATAGTGTAAACTGAAATATAATAGTTTCTTTCTTTTAAAGGCATCTTACAGAACACATCATTTTAGCTACTGGAAGGACTGCATTTGGCTGAAATTGTTCAGCGAGTAAAGCCTGTTTGAGGCAGTTTTGTATAAAATTTTCTTTCCTGGCACCACATATACATATGTATGATACGTACATGTATGTATGTATATATACACACAAATATGGTACCTGGTGTGTGTCCGGTGCTGCAGGCAGAGACAGAAGGACGGCACAGATGCTGGGGACCTACAAGGTGTGATTAAAGTATATGGTGAACTTTTTTCTCCTTAACCTACTGCTTTTTTTTAAATTCATACATGTTTGTAGTATATAGCGATGGCAATTATCATAGGGAGTTGGTACATGCACGTAATAATCTTAATTCTTTTCTTTCTTTCTCTCTCTCTCTCTCTCCCTCTCTCCCTCTTTTTCATCCCCTAACCTTCTTCCTCCTCCCTGCTTCTTCCAGTTCTTGGTTCCTTCCCACTCACAAAAGCTCTATTTTCATCATTTTTTCCCTTCAATTCTTTCTTCCCAGCCCCTTTCCCTTGTCTCCTTCCCTCCATTTTTATTTATTTTATTTTATTTTTTGTACTGGGGATCAAACTCAGATCCTTGTACTTGTAAGGCAGACGGCAGAACCACTGAGCTAAATCCCCAGCCCCTCCATCTCTTGTTTCTCCATCCATTTAAAAAGATTTCTCTACTTCTTATTTACCTGTCTTCTACCATATACTTCTCTCTTCCTCTCTGTCCCCATACATAAATTGACTTTATCATATAAGTGAAACCATGCAATATTTAAGCTTGTGTGTCTGACTTATTTTCAGTCAATATTATGATTTCAAATTGCATCTATTTATCTACAAATGCCTCAAATTTATCTTTATGGCAGAGTAGTATGTGGCTGAGTATAAAAACCAGATTTCCTGGGGCAGGGATTTAGCTCAGTGGCACAATGCCTGCCTCAAAAGCACAAGGTCCTGAGTTTGATTCCCAGTAATAAAAAAGAAAATAAAAACAAAATACAGATTTCCTTTATCCATTCTTCTGTTCATAGCATGTAGGCCATTTCCAAGATTTAACTATTATAAGTTGTGCTGCTATAATACAGGTATGTATGTATCACTGTAATATGATGGCTTTAACTCAGGAAGATACCTAAAAGGGGAATAACTGGGTCAAATGGCATTTTTATGTTTTTAGTTTTTTGAGGAATCTCCACACTGATTTCCATAGTGGTTGTACTAGCTTGCATTCCCACCAACAGTGTAAAAGAGTTCCTTTTCCTCCACATCCTAATCAACATTTGTCATTATTTGATTTCTTGATAAAAGCCATTCTTTCTGGAGTAAGATGATAATTTGTTGTTTTAATTTGCATTTCTCCAATGGCCAGCGATTTTGACATTTTTTTCATGTATTAATTGGCCATTTGCATTTTTCTGAGAAGTGTATATTCATTTTAGTTGTCCAATTTTTGATTGGGTCTTTTTTTTGTTGTTGTTGTTGTTCTTTATATATCCCAGAGGTTAGTCCTTTTTCCAAGGAACAGCTAGAAAAAAAAATTTCCCTTTCTACAGGTTGTCTGCATTCTTAGTTATTTCTTTTTTCTGTTTAGAAGCTTTTTAATTTATATGATCCTATTTGTTCATCCTTCATATTATTTCTTATGCTGTTGGGGTTCTATTCAGAAAATCCTTGCCTATGCCTTTGTCTTCAAGAATTTTATCTATGGTGAATGTTTAAATTTTAAATTTTATTATAGTAAAAGGCACTTTGCCTAACTTCCCTCAAAATACTCTCGCATTGCCTTGGGCTTTTCCAAAGTAGGAGGAATTGAAATAATGTGAGCACAACAGAGTTTGGAAGCATGATGGTGCACACTTGTAATCCTGGCACTCAGGAGGCTGAGGCAGGAGGATCTCTGAGAGTTCAAAGCCAGCCTGTGCTACACAGTAAGTTCATGTAGTATAGCCTGAACTATATACTGAGACTCTGTCTCGAAAAAAGAAAAAAAGAAAACAAAAAATAGCCTCACTTCAAAAAGACTAATCCCATCCTTCTTGCCACTTTCTTAACCAGTTCTGAAAGTCCTCTTTCATGAGTGTCTTTCTGAGGTGTGATTAAAAAATATATGGTGAACTGCAGCTGCTGAGTGCCGTCCAACAGAAAAGCACTATAATGTAGGAGCCGGGGATTTAACTCAGTGGTTCTGCCGCCTGCCTTGCAAGCACAAGGACCTGAGTTTGATACCCGGTACCAAAAAAAAAAAAAAAAAAAAAAA